ATATTGCCTGCATCACTCAATTGAAAATGGTTACATTAAAGGAGACCAAACAAAACATATCTCTCCAAAGTTCTTTTTCACTCATGATTTTCAGAAAGATGATATAAACATCCAACAAATTCGTTCATGTGGTGATCTTGTAGACCTTTTCACAAAGTTACTCTCAAGTAGAACTTTTAATCAACTAGTATAAAAGATTGATCTTCATCGTCCAAGAAATAATCGTTCAGCTGAGGGAGAGAAATGAATTTATTTTAAAAGGATATTGTACTCTTTTTTCTTTCACTAAATTTTTTCCACTGAATTTTTCTACTAAAGTTTTAACGAGACATATCTTAAACAAACATTCAAGACGGAATGTTATGAATAATTAGATGATTGTTTTCTAATGATTTTATTCCTTATTTATAACAATTTATACTTATTATATTGTCTGTATATAATCCTATAAATAAGATCAATTTTTTTTATAGAAATACAGTGATGAAACAATACAAAACTATTATCATCTTTCGCTCTACTTTTTTATCTTCTTTCTCTTTATTTCATAATAAAAATTACTTTTAACTCTAAAACCAAAAAAATAAATTACTTTTAACTCTTCCTACGCTTCATTTTCCTTTCTACATCATTGCATAACCCTATTAGCGGTTGCTTCTCCTTTATTTTTCCATGATGCAATCCTATATCTTTTTAACATACTGTATCTAAACAAATGTCTATTAAATGATAGTCAATGCATGAGTAATTATTAAATTCTTCAATGAAATAGTTAACCTATAAAGAAGAGTATTTTGAAGAATAACAAGAATAGTAAATAATGTAATTTTGTACAAAAATGACTTTCCTGAAAGTATACTTCACCCTTAAAAAAGAAAAAAAGAAAAAGGTTAGGGTAAGCATTTTTAATGATGATGATAGTAACAGCCTTTATGGTCGTCCTTGGTCGGTCGACAATCTGTGTTGTATGTTCACTATGTTTTGCTTGTGTTTCCCATTCTCATCTTTCTTTCTTTTTCTCTCTCTCTCTCACAGATAATGTAGTAATTGAAATGATCGTTCATAAGCACAGAATTTTACTACCAGTAATACTATTACTATACGGTAAATTAGATTATACGCGTGCAAATCACAACATTTTCACAGTTTAAATAATATTTATATATTATGGTAATAAGCGTAAAAAGATACTACTGTACTGTGTATGTCTCATGTTGAATTTTATAAAGTCAGATATAAATTAGGAGTCAGTGTGTGATTTAGATGAAGCACATATATAGAGATTAAAGTGATAAAAAGTTGATTGATCAAACTGTCTCAATAAAAGAATATCAATTAAAATTTTATTTAGTAAAAGTTATATATTAGATATATAAATGATAAATTAACTTTTAGCGAAGAATTTAAAACAAATAATTATACATTTTCATTAAAAAAATTTAAATTGATAACCGATTAGACCACATATTATTGACTTTCTCAACTAACAATATATATATATATATATATATATATATATATATATATATATATATATATATATATATATATATATATATATATATATATATATATATATATATATATATATATATATAAACTTTTTTTTAAAGGCAAACAAAATTTATATATAAAGGAGAAAAAGAAAGCACTATGACTACAATACAAAAAGAGCTTCGGTAAAAAGGCATAAGAAATACTAAATTCATGATTAAAATTGTCAAAAAAACAAGTAAAGCAACAAACTAAAAAAGACTTCAGCCTTAAAAAAAAAGGAGATTTAAATCAAAATCAAAAAATATATGACAACAAACCGAAAAATCAACCTCAGCCAAAATTAGAGCTCTTCAATATAAGGATACCTGCAAAAACACCAAAATCATAAAAGACGCAACAAGAACACATTCAATGAAGGCTAAAAACACTCATGTCTTTCACGTTTCTAAGCCAAAAAAAAAATACTCATGTCTTTCACGTTTCTCGACGTCACCGAAGAATCAGAAAAAACAATATCATTATGAGATTTTCAAATAGACCAAACCACAACATATCAAACCATCATCAATCTCTCTAGTCCTAAAAATAACAGTCAAAGAGATAAATATCTGAAAAGTGTCAAGGTATCACTAGGAAATACAAAATACCACCTCAACCACCTAAAGATCCTATACCACATAGAGGTTGTAATCTCACTAGTCACAAAGAGATGAGAGGACGACTCAATATATTATGAGCAGAAGGGACAATAAATGGTTCTGGAGGTCAAAGGCACCCTCTTAAGTAAGTTAACTCTGATTGGGATATCATCTTGAAGGAGCTGCCAAGAGAAAACTATGACTTTAGAGGGAGCCCAACTACACCAAATAACCGGAAGAACTTATGATAGAAACTTGACGACTTGGGGGGAGCACACGTGCCAACAGACGAGAGTAGGCAAAAGACATAGAAAAAACTTCATCACTCGACTCTCACCACCTCCACACGCCACTCTCAGCAGAAGGACTGAAACCACTAATTACAGATTGAAAATCGATAAAAAGGCCAACTCATAATCAAAGAGACTTTTATATTTAAAACTCTTTTTTTTTAGAGATTTCAAGTAACAAGTCAAGTTACCCATATTTAAAACCGACCTTATCAATCAAGTTCACTAAATTTCCACCTTAGCTAGCATTGTAAATGACTAAAAGGATATGAAATTAAAATTATCAAGAAAAAACCTTTAGAGTTTCGAAAGCTTGAAAAGTCATGCCCTAAATCATTTGTCGGGTTAGGAAGAGGAAATAATTTAGTATAATTGAGAAAAAAATTCAAATCTTACAATAATTAAAGATAGAGCCCACATAAAACGTATATAGAGCGACATTTCTCACATTACAACCTAATTTTATAAGTAAGAGTTAGATCAAATTCTAATTCTATCATAATACTTATCAATTCAAGGTATCTACCATTATATATGTTCACCAAGCCACACAAAAAAGGTGTTAGGCGTAAGAGAGTGTAATGAAAAAACAAGTGTTATATATTAATAACTTGAATCACTCTCCCTTTATATTCACACATTAAACTTAATAATATTTGACGTGATACCCTTCTCTTTTAAAAATTTATTTTATAGAGATGTGTGTTAATAGTCCCTAACGCCCAAAACACCTCTAACAAAAAAAATTCAAATCTTTTGGTAATATCAAGTGCCACCCAAATCATGTGAACATACTATACCAGACATACGCTGCCACTTCACAAGTAGAAATGTATGGCTAGAAGTCTCAATACCCTTGTCAAAGAACACAAGTGATCTATTCTGAGTCTACAATAACCCCATCTAAACATGTTCGTCCTAGATGGTATTTTATCTCAAAGTAACTGTAAAAAAACAATAACTTTGAAGATGTCCAACTATAGAGATTGATCTATCAGAGCCATTATAAGTGAAGAAATTAATATTTAAATTTTTTTCTGTATTTGAAATATTGAGAGTGCTAGTGTGGTTTTATATAATTTTAAGGGATTGGTATGAATTTTAATCAGTAAAGGGAGAGCATTAAAAATGTGTGTTAAAAATATTAAGTTTAAAAACATATGAATTGACTATCAATTTACCATGTAATTTTAAGTTATATGCTTGATTTAATAGAATATATATAGTTGATTTATCTTTATAAATGGAAAATAATTTTACATTATACATATTTTATTTCCTTAAATATATTTCACAAAAATATTTAAATTTATTTACAAAATTATTAAATATATAAAAGTAACCTAACACCAAATACTTAAATATTAAATAATATAATGATATAATTTTGATATACAAAAGCTATCACTTTATTTCATATTATTATTGTTATAATTATCACGTTTCAAAAAATAAACATTTCATCATTTTATATAAAATATTAATTTTTTAATTATACATTCTTACTAATATTATACGTTTTAATTTTTATATAATTAACACAATTATCTTTTTATTTAAAAAAATTAGAATCAACCTATTGTTAACACAATTTTTTTTTTAATTTCATTCATTTATGAAATACTTATAAAAATAAAATTATTAATTTTCCTAATTATTATTAAGAGGATACATAATGAAAAGAAAAAAAATACATCCATTTACAAATGTTAGAATATAGTACTAGAAAGACAAGATTGCCGTAAGAAGAAAGTAAAGTGAAATAGCATCACTCAAAGAGAGTCTATATATGTTTAGAGTGTGGTGGTGGCCAAAAGGCTGCAAAGACAAGTTTTAAGAACAAGAAAAATAAAACCAAAAAGAGACCAACAAAGCACTAGAGTAAAAGAAAGTTTTTGTGGTATTGAATGTAAAAAGATCACTAAGCACAAATGTTTGTGGCAGAAAAAACCTAACAAGTGAAAGAGATTTGACATTGCAATATATTTCAGAAAAATAGAAAAGAAAAGAAAATCTATAACCTTAGACTTTTCTTTCGCCGCCCACCACCACAACACAAAAAAACAGAGAAAATAACTCATTCATCCCCACCATTATATAATCATTATCAAAAATATATAAATTGTCTCCGAATTCTATCTCAACTATCATACCAGGATATTGTCACATTAGACGTCTCACCAGAGTTAAAATTTTATATTTACGATTATTAACAGATCGCTAATATTAGATTATATATTATCATCAGAAATAAAATTTTGCGGTCAAAATTTTTATTCAATATTTTTACCAAGATAAATTTTTTTTTATAACTATATGTATTTCTTTTCAATCTTTTCACTAACCCATCTTGTCTTTTTAAATACCCTAGTATAAAACAACTCTATCAAACTCTTCTGTTCTTCCTTTTTTTTTTTTCTTAATAGAAATAATATATTTATTCAAAATAAAACCTAGCTATATATAAATATATAGCTATCTTAACTTTCTGACATTTGAATCTTTATTTTCACTTCATCATCATTATATTTTTATATATAAAGCCTTGGAGTTTGGATATATAAGCAGAGAGAATATGATACAAGAAGATCAAGGGCAGTGTTCATCTCAAACAATGAACAACTTTGAAACCTATCAACAAGAACAGTTTCTTCTTTATCAACAACAAATCATGAGACAACAAAACAGTTTCACTTTCCCAGGTGATCATCATCAAGTTGTTTCTTCACCAATCTTGCAACAACCATGGCCATCCATGTCTATGCAACAATTCCATGTCCATGAACCTTTTGTTATCCCTCAACAACAAAACTCATCATCACCTTATGCAAGCCTGTTCAACAGATCTTCTAGGGTTCCGTCTCTTCAGTTTGCATATGATCATCATCATAATCATCATGGAGGGTCTGAACAGCATCTTAGGATCATATCTGATACACTTCATCAACATGGATCTTTTGGTGGACTTCAATATCAAGGTGGTGATGTTGGAAAGATGAGTGCTCAAGAAATCATGGAGGCTAAAGCTCTTGCTGCTTCCAAGAGTCATAGTGAAGCTGAAAGAAGACGTAGAGAGAGAATCAATAATCATCTTGCTAAGCTTCGTAGCTTGTTACCAAGCACAACCAAAGTAAGTCAATATTTCATTAGAAAGCATTTTAATTTAGTAAAGTAATGAAAAATGCAAACAAAACTCAAAGATCTCAAATTCTCAACTCAACCACATATAATAATACTGAGTTGTGAGTGTTTTTTTCTTAGTGGTCTTTTGTAGAATATTCTATATTTCTGTTACTTTAGTGCTATAAACAACAAAATCAAAATCGAATATAACCTTTTAGAAAAATGAGGTGCAAAGAGTGTTATAGTTTTGTTTGCTTTTGTTAACAACCTTTTTGGCTTGTTTTGTTAATTTTATTTTTGGATTTCTTTCACATTGATAACTTTATTAATTATCTAACTATATGAATATGTATTATTTGGTTGGGAATATCTCTCTCTCTTTCTCTCTCTATATCTATAACTATATCTATATGTATCTATAATGTGTGGTATAGTTCCGAGGAAGAAACTAGGTGGCTAAAGAAAAAGTAATAAAAAGTGTAATACTAGTGTTAATGTCGCTTGGTATGATAAAGAGGAACCAAACAGCATGCAGATGAAAAGCTTCGCATGAAAATATACTTGTCTTTGCCGGATAATATGTTGATCAGTCAAATAAAGTCACAGACAAAAACTAACACCTTTGTCAGTCACACACTATATACCTATTTCATCTCTAAATATTATCATACCCTCTCTGAGACCGGATAACGTCTTAAATTTTTGGAGGTCTGTGAAAGTTAATCACGGTTCAACGATAAAATAATTATAGATCTTATGATAAAGATTTGACAAACTCTATTTAAATACCTAGTGATAATCCGTCTTACACGCTCTCCGTGGTGGCATTGTATGTTTTATAAAATGATTATTACTGTAATATTAATTTTTGTATTTCCAATAAGAACAATAATAATTGAGTGTTTTTTAAAACATTTTTTAGACGGATAAAGCATCATTGCTAGCAGAAGTGATACAGCATGTGAAAGAATTGAAGCGTCAAACATCATTAATATCAGAAACATGTCAAGTTCCAACGGAATGTGATGAGTTAACAGTGGATGCTGCTGCAAATGATGATGATGAAGAATATGCAAACGGAAACAAGTTTATTCTTAAAGCTTCACTCTGCTGTGATGATAGGTCAGATCTTTTACCTGAACTAATCAAGACATTGAAAGCATTAAGGTTGAGAACAGTGAAAGCTGATATAACAACACTTGGAGGACGTGTTAAGAATGTTTTGTTCGTCACTGGTGAAGATCATGATCATGAATATTGCATTAGTTCAATACAAGAAGCACTTAAAGCTGTGATGGAGAAGAGTGTTGGAGATGAATCTGCTTCTGGAAGTGTTAAGAGACAAAGGACTAATATAATATCTATATCTAATTAGAGTTATTGAATTAAGATTTATGGTCTTTATAAATTTTATCTAACCAAAGGCCTATTATTATATAGTTTTATATTAGTATATGGTATTTGGTTATTTTATATTTTTGATTTGGGGGTGGTTTTTTTTTTATTTTTATTTCTTTTTTTCATGGTGTGTTGTAACATGCTGTTTTGTATATCGTCTCTTTGAAAAATATGATGATGAGACAATGAGGTAATGATAATTTGGTGGTTTTTCTTTTTACATGTGTGAGGTTATTGCTTGCTTGACAAATCTTTATTTGAATCCATTAAGTAGAAATGAATGCAGCTCTAAATTAATATATTTGTTTAATTTGTTTTGAAGTTTTCATGTAACTCTCTCTCTCTCTCTCTTTATGTGGCAGCACAAGTGCATGACATTATGATTGTAACCATGGGAAGGGGATAAAGTAATGGGCATGCTTTCAGGTGAATGTATACCACTCACTTCACTTCAAAAGCCTTTTTTTAGAGTGATACATAAGGGTTTGTTTGCAAGATAGATTTTAGAGGGAATGTTTTAAAGGGCTAAGTATATATATTTTAATATGTATATGATATTTTTAAAAATTATATGTATATATCAGAATAGACATAGTTTTTTAAAATTCTCACCTCCAACACATTTTAAAAACTAACTTGCCAACAAACCCTAACGAGTTTTAAAAAATTATAAAAACATAATGATATTTTTAATTTGAATGATCATGAAGTAAAATTATTATAAATTTAGGTTCATATATTAATTATAAATTCGTTTCTAAGGTGATAGTAGTTAGATTTGCTAAAGTCATGGATAACTTTATTTTACCGAATAACCCAAACTTTGTTAAAGGTAGACTATTACTGGATGGAATGGTAACCTTGCAGTACTGCTTAATAGGTGTTTAACCCAAGAAATTAACATTATGGGGTTGAAGCAATGTGATCCCTTAACTCTATTTCTTTCCATGTTGGTTGTGGAAGAACTTAATGGGTTGTTCTCTACAGCTATAGATCTCGGTTTTTTTCTGGGTTTAGAGTAGATTTCTTTTATATGGTTATCTCTCATCTTTAGTATGTGAATAACACAATTTCTTGGCTGAGGATTCGACGGAGAATCTCTAGTCGATTAAGGCTATATTTTAGAGTTTTTAGTTGGCTCCGGGTCTTTGAATGAACTTTTTGAAGAGTAGTCTCATACGGATTAACATGGATCCTTCCATTTTGGACTCTGCTGATGACTTTCTCCACTGCAAGATTCAGGACATCCCTTTCAAGTATCTAGATTTAGCGGTGGGGGTTAATCTCTACTCTAAGTTTACGTGGCGATCTCTAATTTCTAAACTCCATAGATGGTTGAACTCATGGAGACTTAGGTATGTGAGCCTGAGGAGCCAGGTAGTGGTTTTAAGCTCGATCCTTAATAATATTCTTTTTTTTTTTCTTCTTTCCTCAAGCTACCTATCAAGGTGTGGAAGGGGATTGTTAAGATTCCAACAAGATTCATCTTAGAAGGAGTTAAAGAGGGTTCGAAGATTTTTTAGGTTAAGAAGACTAAGGTGTATAAGCCTTAGAAGAAAGGAGGTTTAAGAGTCCAAGATTTTTGTTTGGCCAATCTAGTCCTTTTTGGCCAAGCGGAGATGGAAGTATCTTAGGAGCTTTTAGTCTTTTGTGTGGTATCCTTTGAACCATGTATGGTGCTCAGATCTTTTCCTTTCTTGGTATAAGTGAGGTGTTCAAATCTAAATCAATTTAAATAAAAGTTATAGGCCGATGTAAAAAACAAAACAAAAAATTGAAATTCATCGGATGTATTTGAATGTTATTTTGTGAAAACTGTTCGGTTCATATCGAATTTTGGATTGATTTTTCAAAAACAATCCAAATCGAACCGAACTGCGTGTACTTATTTATTTTTTATTAGTATGTATGATATATTACGTGAAATCATTACTAGATGATAATTATTTTATTAATAATATTTATTAACTTAGTTTAATCTATTTATTTTATTTTTTTCAACCATAATCAATCACTCTCATTTTATAATATTAAGTTTTAATATACTGTATGTTATATATTATATCAAATTTATGATTTATTAGTATTTTTATAACATTAATAAAAATATAATTTGTAATTTGGATATTCAAAAACTGATCCACATTAAACCGCATTAAATTGAATCGGATCGAATTTTTTTAAATATATCATTTAAAATTGAATCGAACCGCAAATAAATTTATCTTTAGATCAGATGACTTTTGTATTAAAACCGATTCAAATGAAACCACAAACACCCTTAGATACAAGTATAGTTATGGGTATTCGCTCTACTTTTTCATATTAAAAAATAGTTTTGGGTATTTCTTCTTAATAATTTATGGATAAACTTAATTGGAAAATGGGTTTAGAGATTTTTAGCTCCTTCTAAAGGATCTTTGGATTGGTATCTATCCTTTAAGTGTTAGATTCCCTAAACTTTTTAGTATCTCTGATTAAAATGACGTGTTTGTTGGTCAGATTTCAGTCTTTGTTAATGAAATTTTTACTTGAGATTTTAAGTGGATTATGACCCTATTTAACTATCGGTATTAGATGATCTCTAACATGCAGTTAATCATTATGGATGTTATTCTTTCCTAAGATTGTGTGTTTTTTGTTGCCTCTACTTAATTTTTCCTTCTCCAACATAATAATTTTGTTTGATATCTTAAAGAAAATATAAAATTGAGTTGAATTCATGGTATTTAGAGACAAAAAGTATTACAACAACCATTTATGGTTGATGAACAATAAGAAATAGGTTGAAAGTTGAACAATTCATTAGAGATGTCGAGGTGCCGTCAATCCACAAAATGCTAGCTAGAAACAATTTGTAGAGTTATTGAATAGTAATATATAGCCAAGAAACAATGAGACTATTGCGGTGTTTCCATGGCAAAAAGAGAGGAACTTGAAAATTAGGTTTTGGAATTGTATCATCGATAATCTAAATTTGTTCTTCATCTTCCAAGAAAAATCACTATTATAATCAATTTTTATCTTTTTTTTTTATGCATTCGATTATTATTATATTTAATTCATATATGAACTAGATACATTAATAATTATAATCATATATATAAAAAAAAATTATTTATAATAGCGATAGATGATCATGTACATTAATTGAGTCCCTCCATAATAGTTTAATCTATCTAACATTAGAGACAGAGAAACAAAAGACATATTTTTCGTTAGAATGATATAAAAAGTGCTTGTTAGGTTAATATCGGAATGAAACCTACTTTAAAAAAGAATATTTGTGAAGAAAAAAACATAATAGCAAAGGAGAAAAATGGATTAAAAAAAAAAAGAAATGGAATTTGTTAAGTATTTTACTGATACATGTAAGAGAAAATAATCTGAATCATCTTTCTTTTATGAAATCAATAATTAACTTAATACAATACAAAGGAACTTCTCTTTTATAACTAAGAGAAAGCCTTAAGACAGAAAATAATTAACATACTAACTTTAGATAATAACCTGAAAAAATCATAACTAATTACTAATCAAAATATAATAGTAAAACAAGTCTAATGATTAACAAAATAATCTATAAATAAGGCTAAAATAATAAGTCTAAAAATAATATCTATTATTTATAAAAATAATAACACTTATTAAATTGATCACTCCATCCATTTAGGTTGATTTTAATAACTTTCATAATTTTTATAATTTTAAAATAATTACTCTCTCTATTTCATAATGAGTGTTATGTTGATTTTAGATGACGGTGAGAATATATATTTGATATTTTTAAATTAAAAATATTATTTTTAAAAACCATTTATAAATTTTTAAAACAAACGCTTCTTTAAAATATTTTGGAGGGTTTTTGTGGGAAATATAAAAAATGGATCGAAAATCTATCTTCACAAACAAAAATGATAATACTATATGTCTTTTTAAATTTGTTTTTGACAATTGCATGCAAATCAGAAATTAAATTATAGGAAAAAAATAAGGTGTTCTTTCCTTTTATGGAATGCGTTTAGCACCTTTGAAAATTTAAAATTGTTATTTTTTTAAAGATGTATCTCCTTATGCATCTAAAATTACACAAACTCCCGTAATTCAGTTATACACTTTATTTTTTCTAAAATATGGTTCGAAGATGCATCTTTGTAATAATTTTTTAGTATATCTGCAGACACATCTCCGAAATATCCCCTGAAGTCATTTAAAAGATATTGAAAACTTGTTTATTGTACACATGGGATATTTCACAGATGCATCTCCGGAAACCCCCTGAATGGTTTCAAGGCAGCAACATTGTCCCAACAGTGTAATTTTTTAAAGCCAAGTTATATTAAACTGAAATCAATTTATATTAAAGTAAAATCAAAGTAAAAGGTCACACATTAACTAAAGTAAAAACAAAATGTATTAACCATACATAACTTGTTCTAAAATACAAAAAACAAAACAACAAAATATAACCTACTAAGTATCTCTAATCCTTGGCTTCTCCTTCTGTACTGCAATGTATTCTGTTCCTCGACAATAATGCCTTCTACAAGGGTCAACTGGAGTCTAACTTCTTCAAAATTTTGCCTCAATGCTCGATCTCGCCATATCTATAACACATCAACAAATGTTGCTTACGTCCTGGGTGTGGTCATCTTTAGCCTCAAGTACCTCTTGATTAAATGGTCGAGGCGATCTTTTAGAAGCATCTTGTATTATGATAGGGTGTGACAACCTATACAACCATGTCAAGTAGCTGGCTGTATAAGCCCAATGTACATAAGCTGGCACCCTACGATACTCCACTGGTACCAAATAACTCAAAATCCTCAAGTATCACATCTAGGGGTGTTCACGATGCGATTTGAGCGGTTTTAAAGCTAAAAATCACCCGAACCGCAAGAGAAAAAACTTGCAGTTTGGTTTGGTTCAGTTGCTTTTTAAAAATAAAACTGAACCAAACCAAACTAATGCGGTTTG